ATGTCTTGGAACCGACATCGGACCTTACCTGTGGGGTCTGACTCATAAGTCCACCTCAACTTCAACTGATAATGATATTTTTATATAGATATGTGGAGTTGTTCTATAACAGCTTTATTCTCTCTATCTTCAAAATGAGGATCTAAACATTCAGTTCTCACTATCCGCACAAAGTCCTATGTGAAAGGGGGAGTGATGTCATCATCATTTCCGGCCTTCTAGTTGGCTCGAAGCCTCCAGGACTGGGAACATTGGAAATGATCTGCATAGATCTCAAGTTTACATGCTACGGAACGCCGGGTGTATTACAAGAACCGCCCCATTTGCACATTTAAATAACCGTATATGACAGCCCTGGAGGTTATCATTGCCCCGGGGCCAGACTTTTCCTATTATTAAGCTTGCCACCAATGGACTTCTACAAGGACACGCTCACTAAGCATTGTGTGGAGCAGGAGATCTAGATGGACTCACCTCATATGTTGTACCTTTTTGTTTATAAAAGACTCGTCTATCAGTAGACAGGTGGCCATGTACTAACTATTTACATTTGTACTATGTATAGCCACATAGCAACCTTGGAGGTACCACAGAGTTGAGGCTATTAAGTTACCAAGTCCTCAAGGCACTTAAATGTTCAAGTGTATTCTTCAAATTCAATTTAGTTCAGGTGCAAGCCTCGGTAACTTTTAATTCGGAATCTTGTAAACTCTACATACACTGGCATTCTTTAACCACCAATATATCCCAAGATCCCCAATAAGCTAATTATATCACCAGCACGAGAGCAATTTCAGGTACTTGAATCTCAAACTACAATTGGATTTCTTTCAATTTTGTATGGATCAATCGAAGATCGCCAAATGCAATAGTGTTGTTTACTCTTCTACAACCCTTCGATATCATCATCTGCCATTGCAGTTTGATATAGCTTATATAGTTTGTTGCATAGAACCTGCGGGACATTGTATTGCAGGATTGAATTTCAAGTGCATTCGGTCATCTCCCACCGACGGTATCCGATACTATTTCGAATCTACATGTTTCTTAGAGAAAGAGGGTCTATAGGGGTGGACAATGAGTCCATAGATATATATTCAACTAGGTTGGAAGATATGTAACAGTAAACATCAGTGGATTCTGACCATGAGTAATGTTTTAGCCTCCAAGAGACCCGATGGTAACAAAATTCGGTCTTTTAGTATACATGATACCAGTTGTTGACATCCGGCACCTAACGTTGTGGGGGCGGGAGCTTTATGCAAGTCAGAATCCACTTGGACCGCGATGATTTGCGCTGAAAAAGACCTAATCGATTGCAATATAAGAAAACCATAATGAGAAGGCATCTAAAATCAATCTAGAACATTCTCTGAACTAATTGCATAGGGATGGCGCCATTGGTGCAGAGAAAGGAGGTGCGGGAGTAAATTCAAGCGTTGTGGTTGGCCAGCGCTCAGGCCAGCTGTCGTCCCAAGTAGCCATCTCCCTCTGAACACCATTCTTCCTCTTGTCTCTGACTGTGTCAATTCTTATCCACCTTTCAGTCATTGGTAAGTGATTCCATATATTTTCATCTTGTATTCAACTTGATTCATCATTCCCGAGACCTGTCTCACTAACTTGTTCCACGCCACAGCCCTCAAGATGCGTTTCACGTCGCTCGTCACCCTCCTCCCTGCCCTGGCCATGGCCCAGGAGCAGATTCCCCTCGCCGACCGCGTGCAGGGATGGTTCAACCAGGTCAAGTCCTACGTGCCGACAGCAGTCCCCGTTGCTGCCCCGATCGAGAAGCTGGCCGAGAAGGTTACTGAGAAGAGCGTCACCCACGTGTCCCTGGACAACTGGAAGTCCATCCTTACCCCGGGACCCCAGGCGGAGGACTGGTTGATCTACACCACTGGTGGCAACAAGACCTGCTTCGGTCGCTGCGGAACTGCCGATAAGGCATTCAAGGTGAGTTGATGTTTTTCCCTCGACGCGTCTTTTCGCCAAGTCCCAAAACCCTAACATCGTGTTCGCAATTCCCAGGAATCCGTCCTGTTGTTCTCCGCCGACCCCACCTCACCTCACCTTGGATACTTGGACTGCGAGGCCAACCAGGTCCTGTGCGCCGCCTGGTCCGCCAGCGCTCCCTCCGTCCAGTACTACCAGATCCCCAAGGAGCCATCTGTTGGCGAGGAGCGTGCCCCGACTCCTCTCCGCAACATCTACCTAAACTCCACCACCGTCACCCCCGAGACCATCTACGAGATCCACGCCAAGAAGACCTACGAGAAGACCCCCATCTATGAGGGCGCTCTCCACCCCGTTGACGGCTGGGTCGCTAAGTACCAGCTTAACATCCCTATGGGCTACGTTATCTGGGGTCTCGGTGCTGTCCCCAGCTGGCTGTTCATGATTGGTATCAGTTTCTTCAGCCGTACCATGATGTAAGTTGAAATTGATTCTTGCTTGTCTTTTTGTTATCAGCTAACACCGGAATTAGGAGCCGTCGCGCGGGTCCTACTGGAAACGCCCCTCGCGCTACTGCCCCCGCTGGTAGCGCAAACTAAATAGCCTATTTTGGTCTATGTTGGTGTTTTGGGTTGTATATAATCAGTGGTAGTGTATTGTGACGCGTCCAATATACTACCTGGGTTGGTTTGTGTTCTTTGTTGGACAGATATCTGTCGGGGATGGAGCCTCTTCGATCTTAGGCTTTTTTTTTCCAGCTACCTTTTTAATCAACTTGTCCCAGCTATGTAGTGGGATTTCGTAACAGATTCACCGAATCCATTAGTAGCTCTTTGATACATATGTATCAACCTTGCTTTACCTCCGTGTCCAGAACATTATCCCTAGTTATACATAGAAAATTCCTCTGTACGGTTGATGCTTTTTACCGCTTTCGTATACATATAAAAAGACATCTAAAAGAAGTCCAAAAACAGGTGGCTGTCTTACGTATAACGTCGCTAATATCATCTTGGGCTAAATATATCAGATTATGAAAGTCTTACGGCGTCAAGGACAGAGGCCGCACGAGCGGCCGACTATTCTTGTTTTTCTTTAATGCCTTTCCAAGATTGTGGCCCCTTTGCTACCCGATTTATGCTGCGACCTATCTTCATAATGCGCTTGCTGTCTCACTCCGAACCATCACACTCGAGGTTGTAGTCATCACTTGATTCATAGTCACCCTGCGAAGACCATGTGGATGGGCCAGGTAAGGACTGGCCTGATGCTGAGTCTGAATCCACACGGGAAGGGGACGTTCCCAGGGTTTGCCGTCTTTCTAATATGACTAACCGGAGAGGGCCAAATCTAACTTTCTTCCTCGGCCCTGTTCGTCTGGTGACGGTGACGCCCAAAACTGAATTCTTGGGATACTGAGAGCATAACAGTTGGCTTTCCCGAGGAGGTGAAGGCTGTGCCCCACCTACCACTCTAGGAAGTTCTTCTTTCGTCGGGGAATTCTGCGACTTGTCGTGGATGAAATTCCATGTGTTCTCAATGTAGAGATCCACTTTTTCCTGGATAAGTTGTGCCTCAATATAAAGACAATCATTCTCAACATGGAAACGTTCCCCGTAAGTCTCCAATACAAGATATAGCACTTTGAAATGCTATTCTTGATGGAAGAGATGGAATGTTGATGAAAAGTGATAATTTGGAGGGTTCGGGGGAAAGAAACGGGGCTTCATAACCTGTTGAGACTACAAGAGAGCCTATGGGGGGAGAGAGAGAAGAGGAATCATGATCTATTCTGTCTAATATTAACCAGGGTATTTATACCCTGAAGCTAACAAAGAAACGCAACAAATAGAGGCATCAATGAGATGACTAGACGAAGGCATCAATGACCGATATTGTCAAACAACTTCGTAACGCTATTTCGGCGCATGGGGTGCAAGCTCTATAAATTCCTCCGGATTGAGGTGATGCACGATCTTAATATGCTGGCGTAGAGTAGCCATGTCCTGTACCATGACACTGCATGTCTCAATTAGGCATTTCACGGTTGGAGCCTGCGCGGGAACATCATGATAAGCCAAACTTTCTTGCAACAAGATATCGTTACAAACCTAGCAAATAAATGTAGTATAAAAACGGAAGTAAAACAGAGGTAAATCCAAATAGCTACCTACGTACGTTTCGTAATATCCTATAGCAATGCCAACTTAGCCTATGCCATCCACTTGCTCCTGTAGACGTTCAAAAAAAAGGTAGGCCGCTAGTGACAAACAATGGCAAGGTCTAGGCTAAAAAGGGAAGGAAACCCTAACTATATGTTCCCCGCATTGCTTAGTTACAACTCTTCAACATTGAAATCGAAGAACAAACAGCTTTGTCACCATTAGAGGTAATTTACTTCGGTCTTCTAGACATATCCAGACAATGTTGGTATTTATTCTTTGAAAGTAATCAGGTTGCCATTACTTCTGGCGTTTATCAACACTGGCGGATACGTTAATCCCGGGCGAAGTGGGATCGCCCTACAAAGTATATATTGCGTTCTAATTTTGATATGATGCTCAATTCAGGTGGATGTTCCCAGGCCACATGTTTATTTTCTTGATAAGCAGAAGGTTCCTTCAGGGCTGAAACAAGATATTGTTGCCAACTTAAATAGAGGGACTGATCGAGGACTTTGAGGGGCTCCAATGCTAGGTTGGCACTACTATTCGCTGCTAAGGGTTTGCTAAAGCCCCTAGGGTCCTCTATTGGTTTCTATCGCGGGCCACCTTGGTCTTTCCTAAAACCAAGCACCTGAGCCCCTAGCTACTTACAGGTAAAAGTAATTGTAATTTAGAGAGCTGCGGTCGGTTGTCGGTTTGTTAGAAAGGAAGAGTCATGTCTAGACGTAAACGTGTCAGCCCCCATCGGCGGTCTAGCCTATCGCAAGCCATCTCGGATTTTGCTTAAAAAAAATAGGGAATATCGCCAGTCCCCAGAAGTCGCCAGCCAGTCTCAATCGCAGGCCACCTCAGATTTGCTAAAAATAGGGAATACCGCCATTAACCACCCACAGCAACACCATAGCCGAAAAGCTTCTCCCATTTCATGAACATTGCCGCAACAAACATAACGGCCCCAGCAACGGGAACTAGCACAAACGTCATCCGCATTGCCTGCGAGATGGCATCAATTGCTCGATCCCGTAGTGTACCCTCCAGCTTTTCAAACAATGTACTCTGCGTACCGGCCACCGCGCTCCAAATTTCTGAGTAAGAGTATCCGTGACCAGCAAGAGTAGAATGCAGATTTTCAATGGCCCGCGATCGGTAGATCTGTCCTGCGACAGCAAGTGCAATGACTTGGCCACCAATTTGGGCAACATTCTGCATCTTCAGCCCAGCGCCTGTGTCTTCAGGTTTGGTCGTCAAGGTAGAAACTGTATAGCCAGTAACCATAGACAGGCCACCTCCTACCGCAGCGAGGATTGAAAGCCCATAGATAGTTCCCGTCGTCGTGCTGGGTTTCAAATAAGCTACCAGGGGACCATCACCAACCAGCAAGAAAACGCTGGCGATGAGGAAGATGACTTTGTAGAGCTTAATGAAATGGAGAAGCGACCCGGAGACAAGATTGGCCGCGACGGCGATGACGACGAATGGCAGTAGACGGACGGCTGCCATAAGGGCGCCGTCGCTATTCACAAACTGAAAGTAGATAGGGAGATAGTAGACGGTGACAAATACTGAGGTGGTTCCAGCCGCTGTCACGACGAATAGAAGCACCTGTGTACGATCGCGCAACAAGTGCCCAGGGAATGCGCGTCGAGCGGGGGTGGTAAAGATAGCAAAGTACTGTTGTAAGGCATAGAGTGCTAGGACCACACCAAATACAACAAAAGTGGCAATAGTGCGTCCATCGTTCCATGGCCATTGGCTACCGGCCATTGTGAACGCGAGGAGAAAGCTAACCCACATGCCGGACCCAAGAATGAAGCCGACAAAGTCAATGGAAGTCAGCTTTTCTCGCATATGAACGCCTTGCATGAGACAGATAGATGGGAGATAGATAATAAATGCCGGCGCGGAGACGGCACCGATCACCAGGTTGATGTAGAAGGCCCAGCGCCAGGTGGCTGAGGACACGGCAAAGGCACCACCGATTAGAGGCCCCAAAACACACCCAAAGCCCCAGAAGACGGCTATGAGAGCCATATAAAGACCACGTTCCTTCTCCACTGTCATGACAGCCATGTATTGTAGTGATCCAAGGTAGATACCACTTCCACCAGCACCAGCGATAACACGGCCAACAATCAGAGCGTTCATATTTGGTGCGGCGCCACAAAGAGCCGAGCCCGCCTCAAAAAGCACCATGGTTGCAATGTAGACCCATTTCATGTTGAAGGTGTTGAAAAGGGTGCCGAGTAAGAGAATGACACATACTGAGCCCAATGGGAAACCGGCTCCGATCCAGGAGAATTGGTCGACATGACCGAATGCCCCGATGACAGGGCCTTGGACATCGGCAGCGATCGTGGTATCCAGTCCGTAGAGAAAGCAAGTGATATAAAGTGAAACGCAGATCACGATCCAGTTGATGCCGCGGATCTCTCGTTCCTTCGTCTCCGATTCCTCAATACACCCATCTTGGGGGAGCTCCCGCTTGTCCAACTCATGCTCATTAGATGCCATTTTCACAAATTGGGCTAAGGGCGTTCGAGTTAACTCAATTATGTAGGAGAAGTGGAAAGCTCAAAGGAGTATAGGGAAGGGAGTCGACAGTCTCTGGGCATTGAGTGTAATTATGCATTTTTGCGTCCCTGAGACGAACCGTTGTTTCTTCACGTCGTGGGAGATCCGGAGAGATTTGATGCATCATTCTCAATCGTCCATTACCAATTTATCCGAGAGGGAGGGTATGTCTCCGAAGCTACACTATTTACAATCGACCAGAAAATTAATAATATTAATACGTGAGACACGTACCCCCTGTCACTTGCTTTCCTTGTTGGATTACTGATCACATAGCTGCCTGTAACTCGACCTGCAGCTGAATCCTTTTGCGCCTAGCTGAATCCTTTCGCCCCTAGCTGAATTCTTTCGCCCCATTCAAAGATGCACCGGGAGGATCGACAAATGCAGGAAAAATAAATGACTAGTATTCTTATTATATTCATATTAATGTCTATGGAGAACCTTGGAAAGTGCATGCGTGATGCTCTGAAGTGCGTGATGCTCTGAAGTGCTGCTTTCTCGGCAAAGTAGTCGTCAGGTAGTCAGGTAGTCAGGTGAGACTTTACCCGTGTTTTCTAGTAGCTTATAGTAGAAGGTCGGGGTTACTAGTTAGAGGTGGAAATCATAAATTACGCCGCACTCGGCTGTCAGATGGATCTCCTGATGTGCTGGTGTGTTTCATTCAAACTCCACAGAAACATGTTATAAACTCGAAAGATTTTCGATAATTCCTCTTAGAGACCGCTCTCAGTAAGAGTCTGCTAACTAGCCCCGAAAAAGCGAGCTTGATTCTCTGACTTCTCTTCCCATTCGACATCATGAGCCAAGATGATCTCAACACCTTCGGACTCAAGCTGCAAAATCAACTCAATCGTTTTCTCAGCCTGCTCCTTGTCTGTATGGATGCAGCAGATGTGACCATTTTCATCATGCCATTCTCCAATCTCCCTCTCTCTTCTCATGATACGTCGATCATGGCACGAATCCCCAGCTAGATAAGTATATTTACCCGGACCCGTGCGAGCGAGAATATTGATATGTCCTGGGAGATGGCCCGGTGCATCGACTATCAAGACGCTTCCATCTTGGAAGATATCGATCACCCGAGGAAGGGACCCATGCGGTATCCATGACTGGCTGAAATCCGGCGTAGGTCCATCGTTGGCAGATCTATCAGTAGAAGAGTCTATTCCCGTGGCACCCGTTGTAGGGGGTAGTTCGATAGTTCGCAACACAGGCAACATGCCAGGGTCCAAAGAAGCATGACTTCCACGAAGTGACATGTCTTTTAGCAGAGCCAATGTGCCAGGACCAACAACGAATGTGCTTTTATCGAATGCATTTGGATCGCCGATGTGGTCCCAGTGGACCTTGATGGCATATCAGCTGGGTGAATTCCCGCCATGATCAACTTGTGGAATACTTACGTGCGAGTATACCACATAGTCGATATCATCTGTCGATAGTCCACCAGCTGCTAAACTTTGTAGAACATCGGGTTCGGTAGTCATGGGGTGCCAGGTCCCAAGATGACGTTGAATTGGGATCGGATAATTGGCCGATGGATGGCGTAGTCCAAGATCGAAAACGATTCGTGTAGTTTTGTTTGCTGAGCTGACATGTTGAATCAAAAAAGATAGCGAGGGCACTGTTCGCTTTGCGTTTTCTGAAGCAGGGTGTACGAAGAATCGTTCTGGCAGCGTGAGGCGACCGGCTTGAAGAGCGTGCACTTGCACATAGGATTCGTTATCAACAGACATAAATGCAATCTTGATTGTCAATTGCTAGTTAATAAAAAGGCAATACTCAGTCCGAAGCGAGACCTTGTATCTGGGCTGATTCTTAGGAGCGGGGAAACTAGTTGGGGATAAAGTCGAGCTACCCCAATATTGGAGTAACAATGAACAAGTCAACTGCAGGTGCTGTTGCCTGTGCATAGAACTTGAGATGTCTATAGTATTGCACGTTCTTTCATGTTGTTTCGTGCTCGTTCTTCATATCTCTCTCTTTCCTTTTCTCCCCTCGAAAGCCCCCAGTCATTGGTTACTCGCCCATATTTTCTCCTCATCTTCCATCGAACTTATGAGCTTGGTCCGTTTGATCTGGGATCTACCTCCCTCTTTTCGTCCAATCTTGCACTCGCAGTAATCTCAAGATGACGAAGGCAAAGGCCATTGGTTTCATTGGCCTTGGAAACATGGGTTTCTGGATGGCAACTAACTTGGCCGAAAAGCTTCCAGTCAATTCCAATGTTAACGTATTTGATATCGTCCCAGCTCTTGTGGATGATATCTGCGCGAAATATCCGGATAGAGTCGTGGGATGCTCTGGTCCGAAGGATGTTACCGACAAATCAGTATGTATCCTTGAATCACTTTGTCCTTTCTTGCTTTTCGAAGAGAAGACGCTAACGCGATGTAATATCCACTAGGATATCATCATCACTATGCTACCTGAAGGAAAGCACGTCAAGGAAGTTTACATGGGACCGGATGGAATCTGCTCCAGAGACGTCGGACAGAAGCTTCTAATTGACTGCTCGACCATCGACACCGCAAGCTTCCTGGAGATCAAAGACCACATTGGCAAAAACTTTCCTTGCGCCTCATTCTACGACGCCCCGGTGAGTGGCGGTGTGATCGGAGCGGAGAGAGGAATAATTGCATTCTTCCTCGGCTGCGCCGAAGACAACAAGGATATTGAAGAGCTCAGGCAATTGTTTGGTCTGATGGGAAACAAAATCATCCCATGTGGTGGTCCGTCTCTCGGAATCGCAGCCAAACTTTCCAACAACTACCTCTCCGGTATTATCGCCATTGCCTGCTCGGAGGCCATGGACATGGGAATGAAGTCCGGAGTAGACCCACGAGTCCTGGCTCAGGTTTATGCGGCTGGTAATGCTCAAAACACCATCTGCGATCGTTTCAACCCGGTGCCTGGGGTTGATCCCGATGCGCCATCCTCGAACGGTTACCAGAAGGGTTTCAGAGTCGAGCTTATGAAGAAGGATATCGCGTTGGCTTTGGACATGGCCCGTCGCGTAGGATCGACTAATGTGCTGGGGAGTGTGGGGTTGCAGACCTACAAGGAGGCTAGTGAGGATGAGCGATGCAAGGACTTGGACTCACGCATCGTGTTCCGGTACTTGGGTGGGAATGAGAACTGGAAGACTGATCAGAAAAACGAGAATTAAGGCTTCGATGTACATAACCCCGATTTAAAGGGTTACCCCAATTCCCGAGATGGGGAAGTTGGGGAACAGACGAACCGCAGACGGGGGGTGGAGGGAACATTCTACTTGAATCACAGGCAAGCTTTTACTCCAGGGCATGACTGTTAAAGTCTAGAAACAAAAGCAGGCGGTAATGTCGTTCTCAAAGGTGGCTCTTATCATCTTCCAGCATATCTCGATCATCTACAGTTGGGTTGGGAGCAATACATTGCTGCGCCATAGGTTGGATTTTGTGAATAAAGGGTTTTATCTTGTTCGTTCTGTCTCAACTTAACCTTGGAATCTTTTAACTGATTTGCTAAAGACTTTGCGTGAAAGGTTGACATGTTGGAGACTGAGTGCAGGTAGGAGTAAGAAGTGAAGGCAGAACTGGCTCAACCTGGTCACACAACTGACAATATTCAAATGTATAAAATCTAACGGGACATTGAGTCTCTAAGAAGGTGTTTCCTCTAGAATATATCGAGCTAAAAAAAAGAGTGAGTCCCAGGTGAGCGCAGTGGAACTAAACGTGAAGATATCCAGGGCGGTCGAGCTTCCCTCATATTTTTATTTTCCAAGGCTAAGATCTCCCAACACCAACCAACCACCTCAGAATGGCCGCCCCAGTACCGCTAGACCGCATACCTCCTACGACGGCCGCCTACGTGATCGCAACGGCCATCATTGCAGGTGTGACCGGATATTTCATCGGCCAAGGCTCCTCGATCAGCCTCTTCAAAGAAAAGGAAGGGTGGCCAAACAGCTACGATGTGAAGATCCACAGCCACTCCTCCGACGAGGAGGACGAATCAGACTCCGAAGAAGAAGAGACCGACGAGGAAGATGAGGGCAACGGCGAAGAACTGTCGAGCTTCAAGGACAACAGCGAGGAGGTGAAGCTGGTGCTGGTCGTCCGCATGGACCTGGGCATGACCAAAGGTATGTGCTTTACGAACAACGTTTCGATAATTCCTCGCATTTGTGTTGCAAGCGCTTACGATACCTTTCTTCTAGGAAAAATCGCCGCCCAATGCGGCCACGCTACCCTCGCTTGCTACAAATACTTCCTCGAATACGCGCCCAACTCGCCTATCCTCAAGAAATGGGAGCGCGGTGGCCAGGCCAAGATCGCATTGCAGGTCAAGTCCGAGGATGAGCTGCTGGTCATGCAGGCTCAGGCTATTAGCCTTGGGCTTTGCACGCGCGTTATCCAGGATGCCGGGCGCACTCAAATCGCAAGTGGCAGCAAGACCGTGCTGGGAGTCTTGGGTCCCAAGAGCGTGGTTGACGGCGTGACGGGACACTTGAAGCTGTTGTAAATTACACACATTATACCTGTGCTTTTTGCGCATTTAAATAGGCAATGATGATCATGACCTCGACGAACAGCTTTCCAGCATTACTGAATCCATCGCGTTCGGCATACGACACGTCCATCACAAGCGCGCATAGGCAAAATACGTGAAGCACGTTTCCTAGACAACATAGTCCCGCAAAATCAAGACTTTTTCAATCCAAGATTTTTTACAAAATACGATTTCTATGTAGGAGATGTTGGCAAGTCATGGTTATTCCCTAACCTCAGCGGCCAACGGCCAATCGGCAAAGAGATATGAAATATGACGCCGTCCGACACCAAGCTATCAAGCCGAGCTCACCAGTGGGAGCTCAAGACCCGCATCACAAGGCGCAGACAATTATTCTGGGATCTGTCGACCGGAAACCGTAAAGGCCATCCACAAAAATGATGGCTCCAAGCTCGTCGAAATGCCCAGCTCTCAACCACCACACAGAAACCAGTCAGACTGGAGTCCATGGACAGGAAATCTGGACACAGATCCGGTTTTGGTAAAGAAGAAAAAGAGAGGAAGGAAAAAGAGGGAAGCCTCTTATTTATGTCACAAGTGGGGCCGCTAAGATTTTATGGCACTAGGCCTGGCTAGGGATAGTGTTAGGTGGCCGCATCATGTGACCCGATTGCGGTTATCAGGAAACCAGGTGAAAGTTAGGTGAAAGTTATTGTTACCTTTCCATCTCTTCCCCTCCTTCTCCATACACCGTCAAAATGGCAGACGCTCTATCTATCGAGCAAAATAACAAGATCCGAGTGGCTCTTGGCCTCAAGCCACTCCCAGTTCCTGGCGCCGGCCCAGAATTCAGAGAAGACGACGGCAGCGAGTCCGGCGAGGAAGAAGACCCAGCGAGCACTCTCGAGTCACGACAGGCGGAAAGTTACGAAAACTGGAAGAAAATTCAGGATACCGCCGAAGCGAAACGGAAACGAGACGAAAAGAATGCCGCCATCAAGCGGGCGCGTGATATCGCCCAAAGGAATCTGCAACTCCAAGGATCTACACTAGGCGAGGGGAATGGTGACGAACTTGATACCAAGGCCTGGCTGTCACAATCCAAAAAACGCCAAAAGAAGATCGAGAAAGAACGCGCCCAGAGGCTGGCCGAGGAACTCGAAGAGCGGGAGCGCCTTGCAGAAGCCGAGTACACTGCAGCGGATCTGGCTGGTATCAAGGTCGGACACGCTGCGGGTGCTTTTGATAGCGGTGAAGATCATATCCTGACGCTGAAGGACGCTGCTGTGGACGATGAGGAAGAGGACGATGAGCTCCAAAACCTCGATTTGGTTGAGAAGGAAAGAACCGAGGAGAAGCTGGAGCTCAAGAAGAAGAAGCCGGTCTATGATCCTACGGCCGAGAACCAGGGTATCCTTTCGCAGTACGACGAGGAAATCGAAGGCAAAAAGCGAAAGAGATTTACACTCGACGCCCAAGGGTCGACCGGAGAACGCGAAGCAAAGCGGCAGGAAGTTTCAAACCAGTTGCGAAAGAACATTATCAGCCTCGACTTTGAGCCAGAGGTGCCGTCTTCCGATTACATGGACATCAGCGAGGTCAAAATTAGGAAACCTAAGAAGAAGAAGGCCAAGGCTACAAAACAGAGGACTTTCATGGACGACGACGAGATTGCCCCGGTTGCGGATTCGACCAATGCGCAAGGATCCTCGGCCATGGATATTGATTCAAAGGGTGGAGTCCCAGTCCCTGCTCCCCGCAAACCCATCAATCAAGATGTTTCTTTCGTGGATGATGATGACCTTCAAGCCTCTCTTGCGTTGCAACGGCGCGCAGCCTTCAAGAAGCGCAAGAAGATCAGCCCCGAGGAGCTTGCCAAGCAGCTTCGAGAAGAGGAGGCTCAGACCCCAATGGAGATTGAAAATTCGGATAATGACGGCGAGGAGCCTGGCCTTGTTATCGACGAAACATCAGAGTTTGTGTCAAATCTACACAAGCCTACACTCCTTGAGCAGGAAGAAAAACACGCCACAATTGCGACGAAAGAGCCTGAAAGCCCCCACGCAGAGCCCGAAGGAGAGGGCGTGGAGATTGATATGGACCGTTATGGCGATATCGAAGACGAAGAAGAGCTGACCGCGCGCATCAAGCGCGATGAAGCATCTGCAGCCCAGCCACAACAACTCACTGGCACAGGTCTAGAGGAGGAATCAACTTTGGACAGCGGTCTTGCTGCTACTCTATCAATGTTGAAATCGCGTGGCCTGGTTAAAGACAACGACAGCACCAGCCAAAACACCCTCATGCGCGATCGCCAGCGTTTCTTGGCCGACAAGGCGAACCGCGAGACCGAAACCGAGCGACGCGCCCGGCAGCAGCGTGAGCGGGACCGTACCTCCGGCAAGCTTGAGCGCATGTCAGCCCGTGAGCGCGAGGAGCACGCGCGCTGGGAGAACAAGCAGCGTGACCAACAGGAAGCTCGTCATATGGCCGACGTGTTCAACCGCGAATACAAGCCCGACGTCCAACTGCGGTATGTCGATGAGTTCGGACGCAACATGAACCAAAAGGAAGCCTTCAAGCAACTCAGTCACCAGTTCCACGGCAAGGGCAGTGGAAAGATGAAGACGGAGAAGCGTTTGAAGAAGATCGATGAAGAAAAGAAGCGCGAGTCTATGAGCACGCTGGACAGCAGCCAGAGCACCGGCATGAACACTGCTGTGGGCACTGCTGCGCGCAAGAATCGCCAGGCTGGTGTTCGCCTGGGCTGATTCTTTTTTTTCCTTTTCAATAGCCAAATACCAATTCAATAGCCAAATACCAATTTTACGATATCCAAAGTCTAACCCAGAAGTCCTTCCGAAGCCCCGTAGTTATATTTAGGCCTGATCAGGCAACGTTTCTATATCTCGTGGAGAAGGTGGATGTTACCAATTTCAACATATGTATTAGAATATGTACATATCTAGGGGATGTACATATTTAACCGAGTTGTTCCTGTGGGGTGTAAGAATCCAGGTGTCAGGCATCTCAGACACGGGGAAATAGGAGAATTCCTTTACTCCAACTATGTGAGGGGAAACGGTGTGGAGTTCGACAGCCTCGATCAGTTCACCGGAGATTCGACTTGCCGAGAAAACATTTGGAGATGGGCTGATGTGGAGGTATACATCAGGTGTTATAGAAACAATATGGACACCAATGGATATAGGGAATATTTAGGTGTCTCACTCTACATTCCGGATTGAATTCAACATAGGAATTCTATACTCAAATATCAACCACAATTTACCATCTTCAGTAACTAAATCCCCGTAGAAACAGCAGTTGATCCCTGCGATTTAGCCGGAGGATGCAGCCAATCCCATTCGCACATCTCGCCGTTGGTTGTACCTGGTACCTCAAGCGAGGCGGGGTTGCATACCAACTGGCAGGTACCCGCTACCGCTATCACATGAGTCAAGACGAAAAACATCGGGACAACGTCTCCGATCCCTTTATATAATTTCTTTCCTCCCCCGTTCCCTTTCCCCTTCCAATTCCAAACCTAGGAGATCCAGGCCTTGCTCTTTCGATTTTTCTTCATCTCTGCCATTATGCTCTCCACTCTCAGAGTCGCCAGCCGGTCGGCTGCCTCCCGCGAGGCCAACATGCGCACCGTCGTGATCGGAG